GGATGATGTTTTCCAGAAGGAGTATATAACAAGCTTGCATGTTTGACAGAAACAGCAGCTACGAAGCCTGCAAATTTAAAAAAAAAGAAAAAAGAAGAAGAAGAAGAACAAGAACAAGAAGAAGAACAAGAAGAACAAGAAGAAGAAGGTGCAAAGGGTAAGACACTTAAGTGTCTCTACTCTTAACAACGTAGACCAGGGAAGCTTCAGCCGTAGTTAATGCTACAGTTTCCTTGTCACAAATCCATGGAGTACATGAGTCTTTTATAAGGTTTTCACCCATCCATGATAAAATAAAATGATGGAACTCCAGTTTATTCATTTAAAATATTGGTGTTGCCGGGCATGGTGGCTCCTGCCTGTAATTCCCACAGTGTTGGAGGCTGAGACAGAAAAATCCCTTGAGGCCGGGAAGTCCAGCAGCCTGGGAAACATAGCAAGGCTCCGTGTCTATTTTTTTTTTTAATGTAACTGGGTGTGGTGTTCTGCCCCTGTAATCCCAGCTACTTGAGAAGCAGAAGCAGGAAGTTGTTTGAGCCTAGAAGGTTGGGGCTGCAGTTAGCTGTGACAGTAAAATTACACTGTAGCCTGGGTGGCAGAGCGAGACCACACCTCTAATGAAAATCAAGTCAAATAAGATAAGATAAAATAAAATAAAATGTTGGTCTTTTTCTTTTTAAATTTGTTTTGCTTTTTTCTAAATTTAAGAAATGATAATGATAGTTGTTTTGTATAAGGCTTTCAGAAACTGGCTTCTGCCCAAATCTCCATCTGCAGCCCTTTCTCTGTCTGCCTTTTTTTTTTCCCATTACTGAATTACTGGTAATGCCCCCATCACCATCCCTCATGTAGACAAACACATATGCTCTGGGAGGCTTCTTTTCCTCTCTTGTCAATGCGCTACCTTTCCTGCCTTCTGCCTCTTTTAATCTGGTGTACTTCATGCTCTAAGTCTCAGCTCAGGCATGATCTCTAGAAAAGCTATCCCTGACAGGTTTTATTCCCATTCCTTAAACCCCAGTGCCTACCACTTAGCAGGAACTTAACAAATATTTTGTAAAATAAAGACTGTTTATGCAAAGATGATTGCTACAGTCTAGCAGCAAAGAGGATAGACATGCAAAGACATCATGTACAGTTCAGATGGTCAAGTGACACTAGACAAATTGGCAGAGTACTAAGGGATCCCCAAGGAAGGAGACACCTGTGTATGTGGATAAAAATAGCCAGATTAAAAGAGGACTTCACGTAGCATTCTGAACCTTTTTTTCCCTTTTTTTTTTATTTTTTCTGTTTTTGGAAACAAGTCCTTACTCTGTCACCCAGGGTGGAGTGCAATGGCATGATCGAGAGTCACTGCAAACTAAAACTCCTGGGCTTAAGGGAGCCTCTCACCTCAACCTCTTGAGTAGCTGGCACTACAGGCCCACACCACCATGACTGGCAAATTTTCTTTAGAGTCAAGGTTTCACTATGGTCTCCAGGCTGGTCTTAAACTCTTGGCTTTGAGCAATTCTCTCTCTTGGGCCTTGCAAAGTGCTGGGATTCCAAGTCTGATCTACTGTGTCAAGCCTACATTCAGAGTCTTAAAACACAAATATAAATTTGTCAGAATAGTAGACGAAAACATTTCAGATGTGAAAAGCAGGATGTACACTAATAAAGATATAACGGTAACAAACTTTTTACAAATTATTGGTAAATAATTCGCTTAGCATGTTGTTAAAAAATACACTATTAGGAAGTAAAGAATAGTGAAGTGTTACTTTATATGTTTTCACTGTATTTTTAAATTTTTGTTTCCAGCAGTTTTATTTATTTATATTGAGTGGAATAATTTGTGGGTGACCATGAGATTTTTGCATGGCTTGAACCTGCTGATATCTAGTGTCTCCCCAAGTGGTTTGTTGAAGTTTTAGATAATTAGAAGTATTTCTTAAAAAAGGTAAATATTGTAGTAAACATTAAGCTTCATTTAAACTCTCAATTTCTAAAATAAATGTATATGTTTTTTGTATCCATTTTTCTAAAGATTATAGTCTTTAACTGTTCTAAGTCATTCATTT